GAAGAATACTGTTTTTATTAATATCATTACACTTTATTTGCTCTGTTTTATTTTGTGAAACCTAACTACGTATATGGAATAATAAAAGTTTTATAAAAGCAATAAGCCCCGTGAAGCCGTGGTTTACAGTTAATTTATAACAGTTAAGGGGGTTTTAGGCACTCCGCTTTGCACCTAACAACGCCCCTTATCTGTTATAAAATCACTGTAAACCACGGCTTCTTGGGACTTATTGCTTTATTATGTAAACAAAAACTTTTATTTTGGATGCGATTAATCGCGAGCACTAATAAGCACTACTCTCCCATTCACTGCTCTCGAAGTCAACCCAACTACGACGACTTCCGCTGCTGAGAAACACGGAAACGTAAAAAAGGTCAATCCTTCATGATCCGTTTCTGTTTCCGACCCGCAGCGCAGTCGGTGATTTCCAGGTGGACGACAAAACGAAAGCTCTTCTGCGCTACAACGGAGACGTCACCTGGATCCCACCGGCCATCTTCAAGAGCTCCTGCAAGATCGACGTCACCTTCTTCCCGTTCGACTACCAGAACTGCACCATGAAGTTCGGCTCGTGGACCTACGACAAAGCCAAGATCGACCTGGTGCTCATCGGCTCCACCATCAACCTGAAGGATTTCTGGGAAAGTGGCGAGTGGACGATCATCGACGCTCCCGGATACAAGCACGACATCAAGTACAACTGCTGCGAGGAGATCTACACGGACATCACGTACTCGCTCTACATCCGCCGGCTTCCGCTCTTCTACACCATCAACATGATCATTCCCTGTCTGCTCATCTCCTTCCTCACCGTTCTGGTGTTTTATCTCCTGTCCGACTGCGGAGAGAAGGTGACCTTGTGCATTTCTGTTCTCCTCTCCCTCACTGTTTTCCTCTTGGTCATCACCGAAACCCGTCCACGTCTCTCGTCATCCCTCTGATCGGAGAGTACCTGCTCTTCACCATGATATTTGTGACTCTGTCCATCGTGATCACAGTGTTTGTGCTTAATGTGCATTACCGCACGCCTAAGACGCACACCATGCCCGGCTGGGTTCGGAAAGTGTTCCTCGGTCTGCTCCCTTGGGTCATGTTCATGACGCGGCCTGAGAAAGAGCCGGAGAGGAAGACCAGACTTTGCGCTCTTCACGCTCCAGGTCTGGTTTCCAGCAAGCAGACGAATGTTTCGCGCCGGGCTCGTCTGCTGCTGTGCTCCTCTGAGCTCACCAACCTGAGCGAGGCCTCGTCTAAGACGGCGCCTGGCTTTCTGTGTCGAGACGGACGATGCCTGGGGAAGCAACAAGGCACTAACGTCTCCAGCGCAGGAGCAGAAGACGGAGGGAGTCCGTGCTCCAGCTCTGAGTCTCTGGACGCTGGGTTTCTGTGCATGTCTCCACAGGTCAGAGACGCCATAGAGAGCGTCAAGTACATCGCCCAAAACATGAGGCTACAGAACGAGGCCAAGGAGGTGAGAGATCTGACATCAAATCAATCCATAATGCATTGGTCTGATACAGTCAAACCAAAATTTATTCAGACACCTTCGACATTTCTATAATTTCTATCATTTTCTATCTATCTTCATTGCTATCCTCACTTACATAAATGAACTATAGTGTCCTGCACCCACTAGTAAAAATTATATCTGGTGTCTGATTAAATTTTGGATTGACTGTATTATTATTATTGACACTTTTTATTTCTAGGCCTTTAGTATTTAGTGTTAAACAAGCAGGGGATCCTGTAAGGGAGAGAAATAAAGCATGTTTTTACTTCTGGAGTGCTGAACTCTATCAACTACATACTGAAGCTTTTCACAAGATCTTTTCACTTTAAGTCTGTAAAGCCTGACTTATGAAACAATAGTCAAATTTTATGAAATGGAAGAGTTTATTGAACCTTTAGACAAAATCAAAAATAAATTAGTCTGCGTATGTGCTTTTTTGTTAAATGTAATTTGTGTTCCATTAGGCTTTTCTGGCTTATATAGTCTGATACAGTGAGAATATGGAGAAAAACAGCTCAGTTTTATTCAGAGACTCAAACTGAGCAAAGCAATTTGATGCAGATGCTGATATTTCTATGCTGATACTCTGATGCTTGTGATGTAAATCAATGAGATCTTTATAACAGTACAGCAGATACTGACATAAAATGATCTAAATATCAGTCATCGTTCTATATCTCCAGTAATCTGTCTCAGTAAGATGAGATTGAAATGCTCCAAACATATAATGCAGTGATTGAGAGCTGAAGAAATAAAGGCTCCTCAGAAGATGTGAGATGTTCTGGAGGCTTGTGAAGATCATTCCTCCGCTGAGGAACAGTGAAAGTAAAGCTTCTGGAAACAAACGCTCCTCAAAAGATCCTGAGGATCAGATTTGAGACTCTAAAACATGATTGATGGAGAATCAAGTAAAGCTGAGCTGCTTCAGTCCAGTAAGTGTTCATCTGGAGATATTACTGCAGTTATTCTGACCTTTACTGAGAAAATCTGACAGCAGAGACGCTGGATGTTTGTGCAATTACACTAAAAGAGCTTTTACTGGATAAAAACCAGACGACGGAAGAGATGAAGTAGAAACAGGTTTAACAGCAAACTTTGATCATTTAGAGGCCTTAGAAATCTGCATATCAAATATGATCCAGAGTTCATGTCTTGCTCTTCCAACCCTTGTGTTTAAAGGTCCAGGACGACTGGAAGTATGTGGCGATGGTGATTGACCGGATCTTTCTGTGGGTGTTTGTCCTCGTGTGTATTCTGGGTACGGCTGGACTCTTTCTGCAGCCGCTGCTGATGAGCGAGGACATGTGACGACTTCACATCCCAACATTTTCAAGAAGATTTCTAATTACCCACCCGACGGCTTGCTGTCCTGTCAATTCCTATTTCCATCAAAGTCATGCAACCCGGTTACATTACATAAGGCTAAAAAACATTTGGCCGATGACTGGACCGAATATTTGGCCTGTAGATGGAGTATCAGAGGCTTGTGCAACTAGCAGAGTACTCCTAAATTAATAGTCCACTCAAAAAATGGACATTTATTTGCCTTTTGAGTTGTTCCAAGTCCATGTGGTCTTTCTTTTTTCTTTTTTTCCATGTTTCATCGATCACAGTAATCTCCAAAATGAGAAAGAAGCACCGTAAAAGTAGTCTGTACAAACATGTGTGCTGTAGTTTTTGAAGTCATAATCAACAGAGTGAAATCACAGCTGCTCGCTGATAATCTTCTGTGTATGAATGAATGGGTTCAGTTCATAATAATAAGGCTTATTCCGTCCATTCGAGTCCTTGTAATGCGTGAAGATTCTATAATATAATATATATAATAATGAATATATCAGCATGCAGGTTTGGACTGAAAATAATAAAGGCACGTATGGTCATTTTGTTACATTAAAATATTTTAAACTACTTGTCAGACACGTTTTTAAAAACACAGACTTGGGCAAAGTCACCATCTCCTTGTGTGTGTTGTAACAGCTTACTTTCAGGTACAAAACGCCACCTAGTGGATCCTTTGAGCAGGTCCCTGGTAAAAAAAAGACGAGACCTTTCTGTGTAATTTAAGACATGGGTCTCCAAAACAGTCAAAATGTTTTTTTGAACATGCAATGGGTGTCTGTTCACTGTACATGTTCATATATTCTTAATGTATAATGTAAAACCCTGATGCACATTTTTAACCTTTCAAGGAATCCTACAAATAAAGAAAGACTGAGAACTATGAAGATCTTCTGTTCTACTGTTGGCTGGCTGAAAATGATTTATCTTCAGTTTTGTGAGAATTTCAGCGTCTGCCCCGGGCTGCACTGACATCTATCAAAGGCTGTAAAGTTTTATAGCACACTGTAAATTACTGTCATGCACCTGTATCGACGTCACTGAGCGTTAACGCAGCTTACATAAAGCGTTAAAACCAAATAATTTGATTTCTGACATTTAAAGAAAACTGATGCCTGGTGCCAAAAATGCACTCCGAATTTCTCATATTCACAACTTAATAGCAACCTATTGATAATAGCAACTGCTGTATTCAGTTGCATCTTCGTTTGTACAGTAAACAAGAAAGCTATTAATCCAAGGGTTTCTAAGTCAGAAAAGGGTTAGATTCTTCCTTAAGGCTTTTTCACACTAAATGCAAATGTTCAGTTTAAATAAACCAATTAATGCCTATGAACCTTTTCACACCAGACCCAACTGGTTTTTCCCTTCGGTAAGTGTGTCTCATTTTATTTTCATCATCGGGTGATCAGATTATACATTATGCATGAGAATTCTGCTAACTGAGCAAGGCATTTGATAATCAAAGTCACAGGTCTGCCCTCTGGCTGGAACAGGTTTCGTTAACATTTCACAACACATTATAAATTACATGACTGCCACACTGCTACTACTGTCACACGATCGTGTTACAACATTAATGAATCAATACAATACAACTGTAGAAGAAAAGAAAAGTAGGAAATGCATAATAGACATTTTGAAACATTGAATAGTTGATGCATAATTCTAGGTTGATGTGGAATATGAAGACCAAGATGAGGAAATGTGGAAAATGGTTTTTATATTTTGACTGCTTTTAGCTATTTTCCAATTTAACAAAAACATTACACCAAAAGAAATAATAATAAAGTAACTACAGCTAACTGTGATTGCAGGCATGCTTGTAAGTAAAACTCTTGACAGCAGGTGACTATGAGGTTAATTGTTATGAAGTCCAATAATCATGCAGAAATGTCAACTCAGATTAACTGTAAAATGCTTCTAAGCTTTGAGCACTGATGCACAACGTGGCTTTGGGCAAAACTGTTGTGAGAACGCAAATGATCCAGTCCATCATCGCTTGAAACATTGCCTTTGGGTTGCTAAGCCATGAACTCTACACTTTTTTAAAATGCCTTGTGGCTAAAACCCCCTGAAGGCTAGACCACTCCTACCCACCGAAAGTATAAAACCAAGACCTATAATCCACCTGCAACTATAATCCACCTGTGCATCAGCCTTTTAGACCGACAACATGAGCTTCACGTTCAAGTCAGCGTTCCAGACCATCTCCAGCTTCGTGAGTGATCTTTCAGTCCTCTAATCTTTCATATTAGCCTTTCTGAATTAACTTGTGCATTTTCGAGATAGTTGTATTCAAGTCAGCTGTAAACCTTACGATAACACAGGAATACAGAATGCTTTATTTACTGTGCAGAGCATCCCTTATGTGAGCCGTATCTCTGGAGGACTAAAAGCTGGGAAAGCCATCTTCATTCAGGGATCTGTTCCCTCTGGATGTGAGAGGTGACTCTCTCTGTTCATGACTGAGTGTGTTCGAGTAACTAGTTCACTCCTTCACGTTGTCTTTGATCATTGCAGCTTTGTGGTGAATCTGAAGTGTGGAGAGTCTGAAGGAGACGACATCGCCTTTCAAATCAAGCCCCAGTTCAGCAGCGACCGCATGGTCCTGAACAGCCGCCAACATGGGTCATGGGGAAAAGAGGAGAAACTGGAATTACCTTTAAAGCAGGCCAGCGGCTTTGATCTGATCATTGCCGTGAATTCTGAAAATTATCAGGTGTGTTTTGATGCTTGGTCCTATTCATTGGGTGCATCGTGCGAAGGCAAAAAAAATTAGAAGAGATATCTAACTATAGTAATTTTCAATCTGAAGGTGTATTTGAATGGAAGTGAAGTTGGCCAATTCCAGCATCGTATATCTCTGGATCGAGTCATCGCTCTGAGCGTTGGAGGAGAGGTTTCTGTGACAAACGTGGCTTTCACCGAGGTGAGCGATAAACCTCTTTTACATATATTTTCAGACTGCATAAACGCTGCAAAAAATGATATTCTTCCTTAGTATTTTTTGTCTTGTTTTCTAGTATACAGATCAACAAATTCTTGAATTAGGATGCATTTACTTGACAAGTAAAATGAAAATAAAAAATAAAATAAAACCCTAACCCTAACCCTAACTCCATTGGCAGATATGTTTACTTGTTTTAAGCAAAAACTAACAAAATTTGAATAATGTTTTCAGAAAACAAGACAAGTCATTTTACCTGTCAAGTAAATGCATCCTGATTCAAGAATTCTTAGTTATTTATACTAGAAAACAAGACAAAAATACTAAGGAAGAAAATCATTTTTTGTTGAGTTGTTAATAAATGAATGTCTGGTAGACGTTATATAAATAATTGTGTTATTCAACTCCTACCATCTTGCTTTTACAGAGCTGGGCTGGATCTTCTGTCTTTGGGCAGAGCGCAAGTATGCTCCACTCGCAGAATGGGACGATCACTTTTGGAGAACATTCATCTGTGCTAGATGGAAGCTCAGCTATTCAAACACAGATGGGACTTTCATTGAGCAACCCGGTTCAAAATCCTGTGAGTAACAGACACTTTCCAGGGATTCAGAACACAACAAAGTGCAAGCACTAAAAGAAACGGCAGTGTATGAAAAATGTTTAATCATTTATGATGCCCGTTTTAACCCTCTGGTATTGTTCATTTGGGGGTCACACTTGTGTTGTTCACGGTCAAAACTGACCGAACACCCGAAATGTAATTTTTTTTTATTTTCAGTAAAAAAAAAAAAATGTAATATATTTTTTTCCATATTATTATTTCTTTTTTATTTTGTATTTTGAGAGAATTTAATGTTTACAAATTAATATTTATGTAATAATTATGAAATTAAGATTTGAATATTACTTTTTAATTATGACTTAAAGTTAAAATAGAGACAATGCCTTTAAAATCCGATTTTTGAAGTCAGATTAGTTCCATCTGGTCGGAGAAAAAAAGCAAAACATCTGAAATTCCATGGTTTAGCCACTAGATTCCTATATAGCTCTATATAAAAGGCTTATAAACTCTCTAGTGGTTATTAGGCATAAAGACTTATTTTTATTAAGTTGTGGATCTGAATATATATTTAGACATTCTCAAAGATAACTTTTTGTAAAGGTTTAGATTTTTTTTTGTTGAAATTTTGGTTTGAAATGTTAGTTTTTGCATTAATTTTGCAGTCAAACCTGAACACAGAAAAAAGCATTTTGTTACACATAACATCAAAATTCAACAAAAATGTAACAAAAATTGACATGAATGCTTTATCAGAGATTAATCAATCTGATTTCAACCTCTTATTTGAGTCTTCTGGCTCAATTTTGCCATATTGTTACAGCCACACCAGTACATTTGTGTGTGTATAATAATGTGTTGTGTGTGTGTGTCTGTGAGTGTGTGTGTGTAAGTGAGTGTGTGTGTCTGTTTTGTACTCTTAATATTTTAGTGTGTAGCCCCTTCCTTGGTGTCTATGTTTTGACTGCATTTTTGGCCGAATTATTGATTTTATTTAATACATTTGCAGAAACATGCTTTGTGTTACAGTCACACTAGTTCATATATGTGTGTGACACACACAAAAAAAAAAACTAATTTTGTGGTCACATATTGACTGACATAAAAGTCACAAAGTTTCATACCATTGCAATGAAGTAGCTATTTTTAAAAATTAAAAAAAAAAAAAATTCTGGTCTAAAATGACCAAACAAACAAACCAGAGGATTAAAATGTAAAAATCAGAAGTTCAAAGCTTGCCATAAGAACCTGGTTAATTTATGCTGATGCTTATTAATAGGGACTGATGCATATTTTCTTGTGTTTACTGCAGAACCTTCCTTATGTGGCCCCAATTTCAGGAGGACTGAGAGAAGGCATGGCCTTGTACTTGCAGGGAGTTGTTCCTGCTAATGCTGACCGGTAAGGAATTGTTTTGTTGGGCAATTTGGTCAAAACAAATTGTTAATTTTATTTAACAATTGTTGTTTGGATTTGGTTGATTTAAAATGTTTCATCTTCCATGCAGATTTGAACTAAATTTCAAGACTGGGCCATCTGACAATGATGACATTGCTTTCCACTTCAACCCTCGAATGGACCGGAAGGTGGTCATGAACAGTGTGATAAATGGAAATTTGGGAACTGAAGAAGGTGTCTCTGACAACCCCTTTAAAAAAGGACAACCTTTTGAGATGTTCACTGTCATCAAATCTGAAGGATATCAGGTACATGTTTTGAGAACGAGACTCAGCACACTGCTAAAAGGAAGCTAGGACCTTGTCCTGACACGGGTTGTGTTGCTTTGGTTCATCAGGTGTATGTGAATGGTAAAGAGCTGTACACATTCAAGCATCGTATACCGCTGGAAAAAGTGTCAACATTAAATATCAGTGGAGATGTTGCTGTGACCCTTTCTGGTTTCATACAAGTAAGTTATTTTTTTCTTCAGCTAAAGCAATGTTGCAGCATGAATGATATTGTCACAATATCCAGTGAGAATGGCTTGGAGGGTGAAGAGTTTTCTAAAGTCACTTTTCTGTGTTCCCTCATTAGAACTGGAGCAAATCTGTATTTTCTACAAAAGTTACAACAAAAATCACCGATCTGGGAAGCTCACACGGGGAACTTTCCACCATAGAATCAGAGATCTTGCAGCCAGTCCAAAACCCTGTGAGTGTCTGGTCTTTTCTAGTGACATCCGAAAGCACAATAAGGTGCAAGCACTTGATGAAACAGCAGTGCATGAGAACTGTTTCAACCAATAGCAATTGACTCACCACGTTTTCAAGATTGTGATGTCCACTTTAAATATCGTTGAAATTCCATATTTTTATTTGTCGAGTTCAAAACCTGCCATAAAATTCGTATTAATATACGCTGATGCCTATTTCCTTGTGCTTACTGCAGAACCTTCCTTATGTGAGCCAAATTTCCGGAGGACTGAAAGAAGGCACGGCCTTGTACTTACAGGGAGTTTTTCCTACTAATGCTGACCAGTAAGAAATCTTCATATATTTTTGGACAATTTGAAAAAAATGCACAAAAAACTATTGTATTCGGTGCTTAAACACATTTCAACTTCTATACAGGTTTGAATTAAATTTCAAGACTGGGCCATCTGACAATGATGACATTGCTTTTCACTTCAATGCTCGAATGGACCGGAAGGTGGTCATGAACAGCTTCAGGAACGGAGGATGGGAGGCAGAGGAAAGTGTCTCTGACAACCCCTTTAAAAAGGGACAACCTTTTGGGATGTTTATTGTTGTCAAGTCTGAAGGATACGTTGTAAGTACTATGAGAATCAATACTCACAGTAACTCACATTACCCCCAAAAAAGCTAGGACCTTGTCCATATTTTTGGACAATTTGAAAAAAATGCACAAAAAACTATTGTATTCGGTGCTTAAACACATTTCAACTTCTATACAGGTTTGAATTAAATTTCAAGACTGGGCCATCTGACAATGATGACATTGCTTTTCACTTCAATGCTCGAATGGACCGGAAGGTGGTCATGAACAGCTTCAGGAACGGAGGATGGGAGGCTGAGGAAAGTGTCTCTGACAACCCCTTTAAAAAGGGAGAAGCTTTTGAGATGTTCACTGTCATCGAATCTGAAGGATATCAGGTATGTATTTTGAGACACAAAACTCAGCACACTCCTAAAAGGAAGCTAGGACCTTGTCTTCACACGGGTTGTGTTGCTTTGGTTCATCAGGTTTATGTGAATGGTAAAGAGCTGTACACATTCAAGCACCGTATACCGCTGGAAAAAGTGTCTATGTTAAATATCAGTGGCAATGTTGCTGTGAATCTTTTTGGGTTCATACAAGTAAGTAACATTTTCTGCATTATTAGAATCTATTGAGAATGACATAAAAAGTAAAGAGCTTTTTGAATACTTTCTCTCACTGTAGAACTGGAGCAAATCCTCATTTGTTACTAAAGTCACATCAAGATCTACACATCTGGGCAGCTCACGCTGGGACCTTTCCACTATACATTCAGAGGTCTTAAAGCCCGTCCAAAACCTTGTGAGTAACTAATTATTTCCTGTGATATCTCACTGCATAATAAAATGCTAACATTTAAAAGAGGTAGTCCACCCAAAAATGAAATTCTATTATCATTTACTCATCCTCATATTGTTACAATGCCATGTGACTGATCTTTTATCTGTGGAATATAATTTTTTGTTTTGTTTTGTCTTTCCAAACCATATATCAATAGGATCCAATGTTGTTTTGGACCCCTTTGACATTCAATGTAATGATAAAATAATCAAAGCATTCTTTAGTATATATTCTGTTGTTTTCCACAAAAGACAATCATACAGTTTCAGAATAACATGAGTGTGAGAATAAGATGACAAACTTATATATTTGTTTGAACTACCTCTTAATGAAACTTACTGTATTATATAAACATAATACAATGGTATCAACCAAAAGCAATTTCTTTGACATATTTTCAATTTGCGGTACTCCCTTTAAACAACAAAAAACAAAGTATTTCAAATGTCCATTTAATTGAGTTTGTCCCCTGCCACAACATTCTGATTCATATAAGACTGAAATCTATTTTATTGTGTTTACTACAGACTATTCCTTATATGGGCCCAATTTCAGGAGGACTGAGGGAAGGCATGGCCTTGTACTTGCAGGGAGTTGTTCCTACTAATGCTGACCGGTAAGCTAGTATTAATTTGGCTGTGTTTATGCAACCAAATACAAAATTAATTAAATACTATAGTTCAGGCAGGAATAGGCCACATTCTCCGATTTGCACTGACATATGCTTAGGTAATGCTAACTATTCGGGGTGTGATGAGATCTCGTACCACGAGATCTTGCGATATTAAAATGTGATGAGATTTCTCGTTGAGGTGAAAAGCTGTCTCACGATATTGCCATGATGATCAGTGTGAGGGTGAAATTAGCATAGAATATGCCACCGCTACGTTTACATTACATTACTCCACTGACATTTAGATTTTTATAGAAATAAAAACCATTTCATTCAGTTGGATAACAGTCGCTTGAATTCTAAACTGACAGCGTCTGCTCTGCTCATCCAGCACGAGCTGCAGAGTCGCACACAGTTCACCAGGAATCAGAGTTCACTGATGACTGATAAGACCATGGCTTATGATTCATTGCGCAACAGAGCCTGTAATCGTCTGACAAATGTTTCATATTGTAAAATGCATGCTCAGCACTGCCACTCCCTATATACAGAGTATGCGTGATCACACGTTCAAAAGTGAAAGTAAAACGTGAGCACGCATTCAAAAAAGATTTAAATTCCTCGCATTTTGAGAGCGGCTCCCTGATTAGACTACATACAGTATCTCCAAATATCAAACTTATCTTATGCTGTACTGTGTAGATATACCATCTCTTAGCTCTGTATCATGCTTGAAAAAAATGTGGTCTCTATTTGCACTTTGAATATTTAAAGAGTAATTTGATTATGGTTGCATGGTTCTGACACAGCGATAAGCCTGTGTGTGAACTGATATTAGGCTAATATTGTAGACCTACCGATGTGTTGGGTTTTGCTCAATATGATGTTAAGAGGCAGATCAGTGGGCTTGCTGCGGTTGAATATCTAAATAAGAGACGTCCTCACTCCCAGACGAAATCTAAAATACTATGTGGAAGACACAAAATAATAAAAAAATTAAATATGATGAACCATGCGTGGTGAACCTATGAACCAAACTCTTATTTAAACACGGTACTATGTACCCATGCTGTGTACACATATCTATCCTTACATGTACAATTTTGGCTGTATTATTTGTGTCCCCTTAAAAATTGCTCTTGAGAAATGTTATGTTTATCGTCCCCCTCTACTGTTAGATGAAATTTACGCCCTTGCCCCTATTATTAGCGGAGTACCTCAGGGCTCTATTCTGGGCCCGCTTCTTTTTAACCTATATATGCGTCCTCTGGGGGATACCATTAGGAAGCATAATGTTTCATTTATATGCAGACGATACTCAGTTGTACCTGCCACTAAAAGCTGGCGATTCCATTCAACCATTATTGGAATGTATCTGTGATTTTAAGAAATGTTTATCAAATGACTTTCCCCAACTTAATGAGGACAAATCAGAAACAATTATTTTTGGTCCCCCAAAATTAAGGAGTGGTCTCATTAAGGAGCTTGGCAATCATTTCCCCTCAATTTCCTCCCAGCTTAGGAACGTTGGTGTTATCCTGGACTTATGGAATAATGTTTATCCAAACAAATCAATTCTGTTGTTAAGAACAGTTTTTATCAACTGCGGATTATTTCCAAACTTAAACCGTTTTTGTCTTTTCAAGGTTTGGAGAAGGTTATTCATGCTTTTATTACTTAACATATAGATTATTGTAATTCACTGTATTTGGGTCTTCCTCAGTCATCACTTGCATGCCTCCAGATGGTACAAAATGCAGCTGCAAGGCTGTTGACCATGCTATCCCAGTTTTAGCTTCGCTTCATTGGCTCCCAGTCCATTTTAGAATTCCTAATGATCAAGCTCCACTCTATCTTAAAGACCTTCTTACTCCTCTCTCATCTACCAGACTTTTAAGATCTCCTGACAGGGCTCTTTTATCTGTCCCTCGTTCCCGTTTAAAAACTAAGGGAGATAGTTGGTTCCCCCTTGCACCTTCTATTACCATTTTTAAATCAAGGTTGAAAACGTATCTACTCTTTCATTGTGGACCAATATCTCCAATCTCAGTTTATCATAATGTAGAGAAACCAGTCATTGTCTAGATTATGATGTCTCAACTTCAATGCAGGTTTAGGATAAATTTCAAGACTGGGCCAACTGACGAGCATGAAACTGCTTTCCACTTCAACCCTCGA